CAACTGCAGGGAAAGAGGTCAATGCCCCTGACTAAATAGTCAGGTTTTGCGTGTTGTGAATAGTCCTGTGGCACCGCTGTTGAAAATCACTGGTCTAGAAGGCAATCTTCCATTCCCAAGCACACGCACATCATTTCTCTTTTCACAAAGAGGGTCTTGGGGAGATGCTCTAACCTGGTGATGAGAGTGAGATTGGGGGACAGGACACCCTGACAGAGTGGAGATGGGAAGGTGAGAACACAATTCTGAAGAATGAAAATGTAGATGTTGCCACCAACCTAACCATCCAATATTTTGTGTTTTAATTTGATTGCAGCGTGTGGAGGAATGTGGCTGTAGGTGGCTGAGGAGCTGAAAGGTAATGGTTCTTAGGGAGGTCCTTTGGCCATCCTGGGATGGTCTTCGCTGAGAGGAAGCGGGCGGCCAGCGTTATTCTGGTCGGAGGAGTTACTGGGTTGCTGGGCCTGGGGGAGAGGGGCCTTAGTATTTGGTTACCAACACATTTGAGCATGCGCACTTCTCACAGGTGTTCCTCAGAAGCTTGGAATGAGATTGGAATCATTTCCGAGATGCCTGAGGCCAAGTGAGGGTTCCATTGGGCACAATGTGAATATCATAGCGCGGGTCTCTAGTGAAAAGGACCAATATGAGGAGCCCATGTGACTGACTGGCTTTTCTAAGTGTCCCCAAGTGAGGGGCTAACCTCGCTGTGATCTGCAGAGGACATGTTCTACTGTGCACCGCTGCCAGCTATGCTCCTGGGGGGCCAAGCGACCATTGATCTGCTACTCAGAATGCCACCCAGCCCAAGGGGTGGGAAGGCATTTAGAATCAATGTAAGGCTGTGGTGCCAAATAGCTAAAGAGAAGGTAGATGATGAAACTGCAGGGAAAGAGGTCAATGCCCCTGACTAAATAGTCAGGTTTTGCGTGTTGTGAATAATCCTGTGGCACCGCTGTTGAAAATCACTGGTCTAGAAGGCAAATTTATAATTAAAATTTGGTGCCTGCACTTCCACTGTCCCAGGAAGGAGAATTGATGCTAATTTGGTGCTAAATTTATATTAATTTGATTTAATTTGGTGCTAAATTTATAATCTTTTAAAAAATATTTTTAAAGTCATATCAGAGAGAGGCAGAAACATCAATGAGAGAGAAACATGGATGGGCTGCCTCCTGCACACCCCCTACCAGGGATCAAGCCCACAACAGGGGGAGGTGCCCTGGTGGGGAATGGAACGGCACTCTTTTGGTGCACATGATGGCGCTCAACCAACTGAGCAACACTGGCCAGGGCTGGTTTGTTTGTTTTCAAGAAGAAAATTTAAAATCAGGAATGACCTACCATAATAAAACACGTGGTCTTGGCCGCATTTTTTTTTATTATTTTTTTTTTTAGGTTTTGAAAGTTTTTTAAAAAAAACTAAAAGGAAAAAGAAAACCCACACACACACAAAACAGAAAAAAAATAAACATGAAACCCCAACAGTAATAAACACTTTTACACCGGCTCATGCCACATTTACACCACAGAATACCCTGCATTCACCAAATCAGTGTCAATTGCGCAGAAATACAGAACAAATCTCTGAACAGAGGCAGTGGAAACTGCCTAGGAACGTTTCTCTTCTACCATTTTCGAAGGCAGGCTAGCCTCATACCCTTAGCCAGTCCGAGTTTTGACTTCCCTCCCGGGAAGTCCCAGAATGGTGTTTCCTGCCTCTTTTGAGTCCACCAGAGCACAGTCACTCTGGGGCCCGCAAGTTCAGGCACTCAGGCACCGGCGTGCACACCCTCCTTTGGTCTCGGAGGCCGAAGCAAGTGCCCCAAAGCCCACTCTTGTCAGCAGTGGCCTCAGAGCCAGCTCAACTGATGTTTTTCCCGGCCAACGTACCAAATGTGGCAGAAGGCAAGGGCGAACGATCAGCCCGCACTCTGAGGGAGGAAAGTTTAACCTTTATTTCGCAGATCTGCTAGTCCAGGGGAATTCCGGATCCAAAGCCTGAACTGAACTCGTGGGAAGGCTCTGACCTATACATCTCCTCCTGTGGCGGCCCCTGAGGGTCCCCGCAGCTCCGCCCACGTCAGTCAGAGTGGGGAAGTAAGACAAGTTTTAACCAGATACTGAACTAGGTTGCAAGCCCCCGCCCCTCCATTTTCCTTTTCCCAGGTTGGTGAAGATATGTCGACAGGTGTGTCTTTGTTTGTTCCCTTGTACCATTGTGCTGAGAACTCGGCTCCCATTCAAAGTGCCCCTCTTTCCCACAAAGACTGCACACCTATCTGCTTCTCCCGGATCACTGTGCTGTCATCCCCAAGGGCACGGCAGGAAGCATGGGTCCGGAACTCCGGGAGGCCCAGGATGGCGGTTTAGGTATTGTAGTCAGCAATCTTCTGCTCCACCTTCCTCACTACAGGCAATACCCAGGGCTGGTAGTCATCCACGCGATAAACTCCGACTCCCAGGCTGACCTTGTGGGGGCCGCATCTTTGCAGAAGTCTCGCATTTCTGACATATTTCAAAGCACCTCCATTGATATCCGGTTACATCTCAAGGTAGAATAGAAGCCTTTCATTGATGATTTTGGCAACCAACTGTGAGAAAAACAATGGCCTGTGGGTAAGACATCAGCTGCAGAGTATGTTGTTAAGTGTCCCAACAGTCCTCCAGGGGTGGCCGCAAGGACTGCCCAGCCCATCAGAATATGATGGAAGAGCCAGCGCTGCCGCTCCCCGTCCCACGCAGAGACAGACAAACCCTCTATCAAATAACCCAGAAGTCGGTCTTCACTCGAAGAGTGACATAATGTTTGGACAGAGACCAAAGCAAATCTTATCTAGACATTTGATATCCGAATTTTTTTATGTGATTGTTGGGGGACCAGTGGAGGTCAGCAAGGCCTGCTTGAGGTATTTTAAGAGAAATAACTTACGCCTCTCCTAGCAGTGTCCAACCTTCCTCGTATGAGATAAATGATCAACCCCATGAAGGCAGGCCCCACCCTGTAAAGCATGGCTTGGTGGCAGCTAAAGGGTTTCTCATTCCAATCTGTTGTTATGCATGGATTACAGGTCTATTTTCGAAGCATCCAGTTTGGGGCAGGATGCCCTGCCGTAGGGGAAACCAAGGAGAGAAAAACTGCTCTCTACCCTTCTGGCCTGAGCTCTGAGTCATCACACCAGAGATGTGCCCTTGCCCTTGGAACTTCTTAGATGCAGGCATCTGGTTCCAAGACTGATGCAAGTGGGTAGACTGAGAAGGCAGGACCAAGTGCTGTGTTTCCATGGTAACCCTGGCAGGGAGCACAGATGCGTGTGGCTGGAATTGTGTTCTAAGGGCTTCCCATCACATTTCAGTGGATCTGGCTCTTTCTAGAGGTCGAGGGACCGTGGACTTGCCTTCCTGTCCCGTGTGCATTTCCTCAAAGGGCCCCTAGCCCAGAGCCAAAGATTTCCTCTCCAAGACTCCTCCCTTTGGAGCACACAATGGAGTCAAGACAGTCTCTTCAATAAATGGTGCTGGGAAAATTGGACAGATCCATGCAAAAAAATGAAACTAGACCACCAACTTACACCATACACAAAAATAAACTCAAAATGGATAAAGGACTTAAACATAAGACGGGAAACCATAAAAACCTTAGAAGAATCTATAGGCAGAAAAATTGCAGACATATGTCATAGCAACATCTTTAGCTCCTAGGGCAATGGAAACTAAGGAGAAAATAAACAAAGGGGACTGCATCAAAATAAAAAGCTTCTGCACAGCAAAAGAAACCATCAACAAAACAACAAGAAAGCCCACTGCGTGGGAGAACATATTTGCCAATGTTATCACCAATAAGGTTTAATCTCCAACATTTACAGGGAACTCATACTACTTAACAAAAGGAAGATAAACAATCCAATAAAAAATGGGCAAAGGACCTAAAAAATAGACACTTTTCAAAAGAGGACATACAGAAGGCCAAGAGATATGAAAACATGTTCAAAGTCACTAATCATCCAAGATATGCAAATCAAAAAACAACAATGAGGTACCATCTCACACCTGTAGGAATGGCTATCATCAACAAGTCAACAAACGACAAGTGCTGGCGAGGATGTGGAGAAAAAGGAATCCTTGTGCACTGCTGGTGGGAATGCAGACTGGTGCAGCCACTGTGGAGAACAGTATGGAGTTTCCTCAAAAAACTAAAAATGGAACTTCCATTTGACCCAGTGATCCCACTTCTAGGACTATATCCCAAGCAACCAGAAACACCAATCAGAAAGGATATATGCACCCCTATGTTCATAGCAGCACAATTCACCATAGCTAAGATCTGGAAACAGCCTAAGTGCCCATCAGCAGATGAGTGGATTAGAAAACTGTGGTACATCTACACAATGGAATACTACGCTGCAGTAAAAAAGATGGAACTCTTACCATTTGCAACAGCATGGATGGAACTGGAAAGCATTATGCTAAGTGAAATAAGCCAGTCGGAGAAAGAGAAATATCACATGATCTCACACATTTGTGGAATATAATGAACAACATAAAATAATGAACAAAAAATAGAGTGGGGGGGGAATTCTAGAATATAATAGAAGCAATACTGTTATTTGCAGATTTTTAATATTTCCTACAACTTTTGTGACATCATACTATGTTAGTACAGTTTTGGTAATATTATTATACTTAAAATCCTTTTATTCTTGAAATATTAATGTTTATTGCATGTAATATTATATGTAAGATCATTTTTCTTTTTTAAAAAAATATATTTTATTATTTTTTTACAGAGAGAAAGGGAGAGGAATAGAGAGTTAGAAACGTCAATGAGAGAGAAACATCGATCAGCTGCCTCCTGCACACCTCCTGCTGGGGATGTGCCTGCAACCAAGGTACATGCCCTTGACCGGAATCAAACTTGGGACCTTTCAGTCTGCAGGCCGACACTCTATCCACTGAGCCAAACCGGTTAGGGCAAAATCATATTTCTTGAATAATGGGTGTTTATTGCATGTAACATTATATTTAAAATCGTTTTTCTTGAGAGAGAAAAAGACTCCTCCCTTTGGAACTTTCAGGTCCCACATGGACAAGCCAATTGGCACAGTGACAATGTCAAAGAACAGAAGGAAGGCTACCAGGTAACGACAATCAGCATGATGTTGAAGAATCGGGTCTTGATCGTGGCTCCCGCACCCCCTCTGTCTCCGTGTAGACGCCTCGTTTCCCTTTCAGTAACGAGGCCCCTGTGAAGAAGAGAGGTCGTGCACACGATGTTCAGGACTGACGAATATTGAGGGACAGGGAAGGGGCTGAGGCAGGTGTGAGCCCTTGAGCAGAGCCGGGGGAGTGTGAAGCCAAGCAAGATACTGCCATGCTCTCCTCACCACCTCCCAGGTACTGTCTCACAGACTCATGGGAATATGAATACTTAAAACCTTACTTTGAAATAATTTCACATTTACATAAGATTTGCAAATATAGTGTAGAAAGTTTCAGTAGACGTATGTATACCCAGCTTCCCCCAAAGTTAACATCCTGCATGACCCTGGTGACCTTTGTCACATGAAGAAATGAGCAGTGGTACAGGCCTGCTAATTAAACTCCAGGTTTTATGTGGATTTTACTAGTTCAGGAACTGTTTTTATTTATTTATTAAAATATACTTTTCTTGATTTCAGAGAGGAAGGGAGAGGGAGAGAGAAACATCAATGATGAGAAAGACTCATTGATCAGCTGCCTTCTGCACATACCACACTGGGGATCAAGTCTTCAACTCAGGAATGTGCCCTGACCAGGAATCGAACTGTGACCTCCTGGTTCATAGGTCGACGCTCAACCACTGAGCCATACCGGCCAGGCTGATCTTATACATTTAAATAGGCAGACTATATGAAGCTGTTTTTTTAAAAAAGCAAGCAGGTTTCCACCTGAGGGGGATCTGATGGAAGTAGACCATGAACTTGGTGAGGAACAAATGCTTCCTGGACCTGCAGCCAAGGCACCGGGACTCGCCCTGCCCCTCCCTCCTGCTTCTCTCTGTCACTTAGGTCCTGTCTCCTCATCACTGGTGTGCACCCCGCACCCTGGGTTTAATCTCTGCTCACAGCTACGAGAGCCTTCCACGTGCCCAGTACCATTCTCGACCATTACCCACATTATCTTCGCGTTTACTCCTCCGTAACCTTCTGAGGTACATGTGGTTTTACAGGGATGGAGGGAGACAGAGTGAGAGCTGGGGCGAGGGGAGAAACATCGACTAGTTGCCTCCTGACCTACCCTGACCAGGCTGGGGATGAACCTACAACCCAAACCTGCAACCCAGGTACATTCCCTTGACCCGGAATCAAACCTGTGACCCTTCAGTGTGCAGGCTGACGCTCTAACCACTGAGCGCACTGGCGGCCAGGGCATAAACAATTTTGATTGAATCTAAAGGCCCCAGGGAAAAGGTCTTCAAGGTATGTATGCCACCTTATGCTCAACACGGACCCTGAGAATCCTGGGCTGCAGGGGCTGCCTGGAGGCAGGTGGTACAGTGGTCAGTGCCTGGGGGCCCGTGGGTTTGGAGTCACTGTTGGCAGATTGCTCATTCTCTCTAGACTTCAGTGCTCGCCGCTGCAGGGACTGGACCAAGTCCGGTGTGGCCTGCTGTGAGATAGCTGCCCGCCTCTCAGAGCCACGCAAGTCCTGTCATTGACATTTGGAGTCTACAGGTCAGCACAGCCACCTGTGCTTCAGTCACACCTAGACTTGTGCATCCTGTCCATTGTGTCATCACTAGACCTCATCAAACACCTTGTGAAAATCTTGTGACTAAAAGGCATCACCTAAATTTACCAACCTTGTGCCTGTCTGGAAGGGTTTAGTATAACATAGAAGCAGCATAGACTTCTACAGGTGACGGCTTTGTTTTCTAAACACAACGCAAGCAGGGGCACACTGGGTCGGTAGGGCTTCCCGCTCCTGGGACATTCAGTTTTATTGCTCAGAAGACAGGATGGTGGGTATGCAGTCTTCTGAACGGGCAGAGAGAACCCTATGTGCTGGAAACCAAGATCAACAGCAATTAATATAAATGTAAGGAGTCTGGCAGAAGGCTGACCAGGACTCCTTTGATATTTACAGGGTGAATATTTACATTTTATTACCTACTGCTGACTCAGTGGCCTAAAGCAAACTCCCCCCAAACCTGATAATCTTACTGTTTACTAAACATTACCATTGATATGTCTGTGAGCATTCCTAAAAGGCAATTGTGTATTCTAGTTAATAAAAGCAGGCGGGAACGGAGACTCAGTGTAACTTGACTACTACAGTCGAGTTTTTCCCTGGCTTCCCCATAATTTCAAAATTAATATTTGTCTTGTGTGTCAACTTGCGCGTCAGCTCTTTCTCCAAGCCTTTGAACCCGAAAGCCACGCTGGCCGTGGCCTTTCACGCCTATGAGCACCAACCACTTCTAGGCATGCAAGAGTCTCAGGTGTGGGAGCCTCTTCTTCAATGTGGACAGCAGCCTTATAAATATTCAAATGATCTTTCACGTGGATGTTTCTTTCTCTCTCTCCCTTTTCACTCTCTAAAAAATCGATTAAAAAAAAATCCTCGGACAAGTGAGGATTAAAAAACAAAACAAAACAACTCAAAATGGTGTTAAGTAAGGATGCATGTCCATTTGCGCCTAAGTTCAAGAAATGAACAGCACAACCCTTCCAAGTGACAGGGGGTAACCTCATCATGATTACACAATGAACATAAAGTGTTAAAGACCACTTTCGTTGGAATTGACGGAGACGATGAAATCATTGTCCCTGCTTTAACGAATCTAGTGGCCTGAATTTCAGCCCTGAAATTTAAGCCAATACCACCTTGCGGGAGGTGGGGCGGGTGGCTATTTTGGGACAGGGGGACTTGCAAAAATTCTAGGTGCATGGATGTGGTCCTTTATTTTTTGGCTTATCGTCTCCTCTTACTTGTTATTTGGAGTTAATTATAGATTCACATGTAGTTGTAAGAAAGAACACAGGGACATCCTTTGCACCCTGGATCCTGCTTCTCCCAGTGGTAACATCTTGCAAAATTATAGCACAATATATAAACACTAGAGGCCTGGTGCATAAAATTCGTGCACGGGATGGGGGTGGGGGGTGTCCCTCAGCCCAGCCTGCACCCTCTCACAATCTGGGACCTAACCGCTCACCTGCCTGCCTGATTGCCCCTAACCCTTCTGCCTGCCAGCCTGATTGCCTGGACCCACCTCCTCTGCCTGGACCTGCCTCCTCAGCGAAGACAGACCTGGGGGGTCCCCAGGCCTCACCGCTCAGCCTCGGCTGTGTGCACAGCCATCTTTGGTGCCACCTAGGCCAGTGATGGCAAACCTATGACACGCGTGTCAGAGGTGACACTCGAACTCATTTTTTTGGTTGATTTTTCTTTGTTAAATGGCATTTAAATATATAAAATAAATATAAAAAAATAAGTCTTTGTTTTACTATGGTTGCAAATATCAAAAAATTACTATATGTGACACGGCACCAGAGTTAAGTTAGGGTTTTTCAAAATGCTGACACGCCGAGCTCAAAAGGTTCGCCATCACCGACCAAGGCTATTATTAGTATAGATTGATGCAATGACACAACCCACCAAGTTATTCAGATTCCCCCAGTTTACATGCATTCCTGTGTGTGTGTATTCAGTTCTGTGCAATTTAATCAGTCTGTGAGAATTCACATGGCCACCACAGTCACCATACACTTGAGACTGATTCTTACAGGCATACTCCCTAAGTGTCAGTTCAAAATGGAAAAAAGGGGGCGGGGGGCATTCATGGGGCAGTAAGCACTGCCCAGCCACAGGACAGGTGCCAGGGGAGTCCGCACTCTTATTTCAGTTGCCTGGATGTCACAGAGATCCGCCCTGGTATTCTGACCATAGAATGCAGATCCCTCGCTTGGCCGCTGAAGAAAGAGACCAGAGTTGAAATTCCTCATCTTGGCTCTACAGTGGCGGAGCCCAGACAAGGCCCAGGGCCCTCGGAGTCTGTCCAGTGCTGTCCCGTCTGGTCCTTGCCGCCCACTCCCAACCTCATCACCTGCTACAAGTCCCCGGGTGGATGGAGCTGCTGTGAGGAAACAGGTGTTCATCAGCATCCAGCTTCATAACGACAAAGAGCAATAAAAAATTGTTTTTTGCAAAGCATGCAAATAAATAAATGCTATTTCTTTATTTCGGACCTTTATGGAAATTGAAAAGGGGCAGGCAGAGGTGGCACACCCGTTCAATTCAGAAACATTCAATGACGCCAGCCCAGCGAGCGCTTCCCCTTTGTCGAGGATGCAGCCCCAGGACCCTAAGTCCTGGTGACAGGCTTCCATGAAAGTGAGAGCAGGGTTTGAAGGGAAACTTCTGGGATGTAACTACAGGAAGAGCCAACAAGAAGCCGTTCCTCTTCTGGGCCGGACGCCGCAGGAGGGGGTTTGTGGAGGACGGGCAGTCCCTCCTGGGGACAGGGCCAGCGGGGGGCCCTTGGCGGAGGGGGCGCCCCGCCCATCTCTCCAGCCGGAAGTGTGCGCGCGCGCGGCCCGCTTCCGGGACCCGCGGTCCCGATGCCCGGAACTCGGGGCCAGGTGCGTCCACGCGGGGCCGGCCGGCGGCGCGCGGCTCCCGTCCGCTTCCGGCCTCACCTGCGTGGCCCCAAGTCCGCGCCCAAAGGCGGCGCAGGGCCGGCCGCGCGCTCCAAGATGGAGGCGCCAAGGCCTGCGGCCGCTGTCTGGCCCGCCCCGCGCGGGCGCTTCCGCCCCCTCACTGGCCGCGCCTCGATCTTCCCGGAGGCGGGCTGACGGGCCCCAAACCGGCCTCCGGTGCCCGCGCGGGAAGACGGGCAGGACCCGAGCCACAGCCCGGGCCACCCCCGGCCCCGAGAGCGCATCCCGAGCGCGCGCCCCTCTCGCCCCGCGCCGCTGGGGAGACCCGAGCACGCGCCCCAGCGCCTCCGCCCGCCCCGGCCCGGCCCCCGCTCCGCCCTCTCGCCGCTCCGCCCTCTCGTCTTCAGCCCTTTTCGGCCCCTTCCCGGGTCGGCCCGAAGTTTCAAGTTGTAGCGAATGTTTCTCTGTTGGGCTTGAATTTTTTTTCTCCTCTTACAG